AGCTTGTCCACCGAGGTTCATTCAGCACGACCCACGATAACCCAAAGGTGGAAACAACTTAAACGGCCCCGTTCCAGGTGAACAGACCCACAAACTGGTGCGCGTGCACACAGCGGAACACCCTGTGAAGTCGAGATACATGACGGTATGGGTGGAGCTTGAAGACATCATGTGAAATGAGTTTTCACCTCCTTTATAAAAATAAGACAGCCCCTCAGCTCGCCCACAGGGAGCCATCGCAGAGAAAATAAAGAATTTTTTTAAAGAGTGAAAAAAAAAAGGCAAATACATGGAGCGCAAAGGTTGCCAGGGGAGGAGAGAGGGGAACATGGGATTCAGTGTGAGAACAATGCACAACCCATTATTGTTAAGTGCTCAAGAAGTTGTACACCTGGAAAAAGATGAATTGGGAAAAGTCATATGGTAGACATATTCACAATAATAAATGTAAAATCAGCCCCTGAGGCTCCTTATGTACAAGCAAATACCATAGAGGATTTGGTCCCTTGGTTTGGGGTTTAGGGTCATCGATCTCCGGGACACGCCAGTGTTTCTGTTCCACCTCCTAGTTCAATGGGTAGTGAGTAGGGTCTTAAACATTCGCAAGGGAGATGTTTTTTTCCTTGCCTTTGGTGCTCCCAAGGCTTTGATGTGTTCCCTTGCCCCCAAGTTCCTGCTTCTGGGGCTCAGTGCCACTTCCTTTGGTCTTTTCGTCCTGGGAGTCTGTGGTCTGGCTTGCAAAGGAAGTGAATATGGGATCGTGTCCCACCCAGCTGTGCCCCCTGCTCAGAGCGCAGTCTTACAGTCTCAGTGTTACCTTCACCAGCGATGCTTAGCCTGACCAGCCTGGCTGTGTTGCATGGATGGCCTGTGACAGGCTGCCCAATGCCCTCTCCCCTTCCTGAGTCTGCGGGTGTGGGACCCAGTGCCTCATGCAAAAGAAGACCGACAACCCCCCACAAATGGCCAGCGATGAGAGGACACCTCACTGTACACTGGGGTGAAGGGCAGGCTTCTAGACGGCAACACAGGAAACCCCGTCACAGATCAAACGCTGTAGCTAGTTGATGGGAGGCATCTGTCTGGGAGTGAGAGGCCACGGGTGGGAGAAGAGGGGAGTGGAGGAGAAGCCAAGTCTGAAATTAAATCAGTGCCAGAAGTGGAAATTAATTTTCTTTCCTTTTTTAAAAATCATTTTATTGGGGGCTCATACAACTCTTATCACGATCCATACATACATCCATTATATGTCAAGCACATTTGTACATTTGTTGCCCTTTTTTCTTAAAAGTTTTGACATGATTCACATACCATACAATTCAGTGTTCTAAATGTATTAAAAAGTTATGCAGCCATCACTACAATCAATTTTAGAACACTTTGCCCCTGGTTATCGGCTTCCCATTACCTCTCCCCAACCTCCCCTGCCATAGCCCCACCCACTGGCATGAGTCGCCCTGGACTCATGGCGACCCTCCAGGGCAGGGTCGAACTGCCCTGTGGATTTCAGACTCACTCTTTCTCCTGTGCAGTGGCTGGTGGTTTCGAACTGCCGATCTTGAGGTTAGCAGCCCAATGTTATAAACATGACACTAAGGAACTATTAATCCAGTTATGTCTCTACAGATTGATTTGTCCAGGATTTCATGTAACAAAAAACATACAACAAAATAAAATGGAAAATCCTCCACCCGGATGGGATTTTCACACTAATGTTTTATGCCTCCCAGACCCCAAACCACTGTGACCCTGTCTCCTGAGAAACCATCTCCCTCAGTACCCTTTGTAAAAGGATTGAAGGACAGGACTAGGTTATTGTTACCACTGTTTGCAGCTGGGATCAGGAGGCGACAACCTGGTAGGGCCTCAGAAGATTGCTTAGAGAAAACCGTCTAACTTGCTCTAGGCTTGGAAGGCAGGATCCAGCTCACGTCTACCAAGCTGGGGTGTTACCTCCACAAATATTCCAGGGCCTCATTGAATGCAGTGCCTGTCCCAGCCAGCACCCCAGCTGTACTGCTGCACCAGTCATGCCTGGCTCGCCCACCAGTATTCCACCAGAAGGGAGACCCTATGGCAAATACCATTCCAGGTGGCTGGCCCTTTGTGGTCATTTCTATCTCAGATGGTTGTTTGAATGCAACACTTGATTAGTGCATGTTTAATTTTTTTTTTTAACAGTATGAACACGTGGCCTATTCATGCATCCAGAAACGTACCTTCACACAACAGCTTATCAAGGAAAAAGAAAGAAGCTTGCCCGTCGTCAGCCACACCACGCTGCTGGTTTCTCTTCCCCTGGAGCCGCTGAGGCCCGAGATTCAGGACGAGGAGGAGGGTCTGCAATGCGGGGCTAAGATGCCTCCATGAACAAGGGCCGCCTTTGCCAGGAGACAGGCGGCCAGAACGGGATGGTACCGTTTCCACTGTGAAACACTTCAATCAAGGCCTCCACAACGGAATCTTGATCAAAGGGGCTAAAATGCAGAACAGAATGTCAGAGTTTCCTGGGCTCCAGACTTTCTGGAGCAATGGAGGTTGGATGAATCCGAGATGATTGTCCAGATAATTTTGAAACCTTGTCAAAAATTATCCTGAGGTCTTCTTAAAACCAAATAATCATTTAGCTGAACTAGGAAAAAAATGTTTGCCCTGAGCATTGTGCTCTTTGAAGATCTATTTAAATGGCATCAAACTGACCACGGCGACTTGAAATACTTGGTAGGAACCCTGGCCGGGTGAGTTGATGCGCACGGAGGAGGAACACCTCAGAAACGGAGGGGAGAGGGTTGAACAGCTCAAAGAATACACTCAGTGGTATTGCACTGTATATGCAGAAACCGTTGAGTTGGTGCATGTTTGCTGGCTGTCCATATTCCCAACAACTTTAAACAATTTTTTCCTCTGGTAAAACTGAGACCCCATTTCCCCCACTGATATGAAATACCTTAAATAGACTAAGGAGCAGGGCGTCCTAGAAGGGCTCTGGGAAACCTGAACCCACAGGGCCAGCCGTGGCCACAACGGAAAGGAGACTGTGAGGGTTGGTAGGGGGGTTAACTTGGCGAGGCCGCGATTCTCGGTAGTCTGGCAGACACTGTGAACTCACTCACCTTCCATTTCTGCAATCTGATGTGAGCTGCCCTTCATTGGAAGGAGTCTCCTTGCGGCCTGCTACCGTGACACACATTTTATGGATGGGTGTCTGGCAAAGCTCCCTCTCCATCCTGCACACCTCTCACCTGACTTCTGGCACTTGGGATGTGAGAAGCCTTTTGCCTGCCTCCTGATCAGCTTATTTCAGATTTGTCAGTTTCTACAAACCACAAGCCTGCTGCTTGACTCCGATCTGGGACTTTTCAATGTCCACACAATTGTGTGAGCCATTTCCTTGAAACAAATGTCTCTGTTTACACATCCAACTCACTGGCTTTGCCCAGCCTATCCGAGGGTCTAACCAGTCAGCACGCCCTGGACTGCTTGAGGCTCTGCTGAAGGTAGACTTTTGAAGCTGAGTTTAACCATGTCCAGAAAGGAACAAGGTGCACCATTTGGGGCTTCTTTCCCCAGAAGCTTGCTGAAGCACGTGGTTGGTTTTTGTAGTTCAATGATATTCATTACATTCATCACGATTGCAACCATCACCCCTTCTCCTTTTCCAAGCGGTTCCACTGCCCCTCTCTTCTCTTTGGACCTTCCTCATCTTCTATGTTAACTGTCCACCCTCCACCGCCTCTCTTTGGGGTGTGTTTGTTTTTTTTAGGGTGAGGGCCTGAGAGCGGGGGACAGAGCCACCGCCTCTCTTAGTAGTAATTACTCTCTTAGTAATTTATCCTCCCTTCCTCCCCACCCTGGTAACCATCAAGAGATGTTTCTTTCAGTAGGAAAACCTTTCCTTGGCATTTTCTCACATAAAATTTGTCCTTTTCCAACTGATTTGAATTCCCTCAGCACAATGTCCGCCGGGCTCATCCCTGTTGTGAAGTGTTGCAGTCACGGTGACTCTGTAATGTTGCACTGTGTACATGCACCACTGTTTATCTACTCTTCCAATGATGGTGGGGGGGGGGGCATTCTTGAAAGAGTGTGCCTGACCTGACATTGCGCATTCCCCAGCGGGGCCACACCTGGAGAACACCGAGGATCAGCATGGACGACAGGTTAGGGGAGGGAAGCTGAGTGAAAGGCTCCCTTCTCTGCATGGAATTACTGTGCAGGGGCCGCAACTGATGGCAACTAACAAGCCAAGTACCACCAAGATTCAACTCCAGCTTTCCCTTAAAGAACTTCAAGTTCAAGAACCCTTTCAGATGTGCTGCCATCTCCTGGTCAGCCTTGGGGTGCAGTCCAATCACAAGCAAGCAATAGCCAAAAGGCGCTGGGGACAGTTGACACAGTGTAAGATGTGATATGACTGCCACACCCAAACCAAACCAGCACCCGCACCGGAGCAAAGCCACATACCCTAAACGTAGGCAGGCTGCTGTCACCTCCCCACTCTGGATGCCTCATGGTCACTCTGACAAGAACCTGGGCCCCTGAGCCTAAAACCAAAAACAACAAAAAAGCACCAGACGCACTGATTGCCTGCTGGACCCCTCTGGCGACCCCTGCACAGGCCTCCTCAGCGTATCATTGTGGATGCAGACCACTGTGCCTCTCTTCTGAGAGCCACGGGCGGTGCCAAACAACCTGTGTGAGCAGGCCAGCACTCACTCTCCCACCACACCTTGCTTCCTTCTCTCAGGTCTTGCCTCTGACCCCTGGCCCTACTCCCTACAGCAGTGCGACGTAAAGAACCCAGAGACGGAGACCCGGGAGACTCTCCCAGCTGGGAGGTCCTTTATGGAGGAGGGACGAGTCTCAGCAGTTGCTCCTAAGGCAAATGGCAGAGACCCCTGACTGCCAAGGTCATCGTGAAAAGGCATGGAAACTGGTTAAGGCGTCCTGTCGACACAGGCAGCGATGAGGGAAAATAAAAGGCAAAGAGATGCGAACCAGAGACGTTAATGTGATCTTTATTACACAGCACAGCTGGTATCCTGGCAGCTCTCCAGACCACCTGAGAAGTCAAGTCCATCCCACAGCATGTCTCTTAAACACACAGTTAACGTTGTCCTAGGCAGTTCAGATGGGAGAGTACAAGGACCGAAGTGTGTCTCAGATTTCCTTCTGTTATTGCACCTTTATGCTACAGAGTTTGTTACATTTTTATTTAACACTGTGATAAACATTAGTCCTTTAAAACAAACAAGTAAACAAAAATCCCATTACATTAAGGAAAAAAGACAACAGGCTATCCAGACCAATTCTCTTTTTGACCTACTGGGCCAAGTGGCCTTCCACATGCCAGGTGTCCCCGGGCTCCAGCATTCCCTCCCAGTAGCAGGGGGTGACAAGGAAACCCTTCACACAGTAGGGCTACTTGACCCCCCACAGGGGTCCCCATGCAAAGGTTTCTCTAGGTCATCCCTTCCTTACCCTTAACTCCAAGGAGGATAAATGCCTGCCCCCGCCCTCCCCGCACCCTTTGTCCTTGTGAACCAACAACAACAAAAAAAACAGCTTGAAAACTCAAGGGCAAAATACTCTTTGGGCACCAGGCTCTCCCAGGGCCATTAACCCTGCTCTAATGCAACACGGCTCAAGCATGTCTGTGATTAGCCAGAAGGAATGCCACGCGTGCCATCCCTCCAAGGGAAGGCCAAGACGGTGCCCGACTCCCCAGAGTGTGTGACCACTGGCCCTCTCCACTTCTCTAATGCAAAGTGCTGTCCATGTGGTTACCTCGGCACGGCCCTTCCACTAAGACTGCTTCCCAAGCCGGGGGGGAAAGCAAGGTTGCAGTCCCTCAGAGAGCTGACGGCCCAGGTGAGCGTCCCATCCCTGTCCTGCACCTGTCCCTGGTGGACCCGTGGCCTGCCCGCCACTGCTTCCTGGGGGGTTAGTGTTTACAAATTAGGAGGAGCTGCTGCCTGGGCACGTCTCCTTGAAGTGGATGGAGTCCAAAGCGACTCTCTTTGGTCTGCGAACAACCGGCACAGTCCTCTCCCACGAAGTGGCAGGCCAAGCCGGCTTGGTCAGCGAGCCATTATCTGTGGAGAACGAGGGGACGGCATGGCCACACTGAGCGCTCCTTGGCGGAGCCTGACTGACCATGCCACCAGCTGTCTACGAACAGGGTCAGCCCTTTGGCCATCCCAAGTGCCACCAATGTCACTTCTGCAGCGAAATGAGTGCCCAGACTTAAAGGGTGGTCATTTTCCGCTGGGGTAAAGCACTCCTGTGGGGCGGATGAGAAGGGCAGCACCCAGCGACCGTTCGGCCACCGTCCTCTCTCACCACCGGAAGCCTGCACCAGCACAGGGCGCCAGTGAACGCTCCAGGACTCTGGTGACGGGGGCTCCCTGACAGCCCCGTGCTGCCAGGCTTGCTGGAGTCAGCTAGTGTCTTCCAAAGCAATACACAGTACAGGACATCTCACGGCTCCCACCACTTGCGTCACGATGGGTGCCAAGGGACAAGGAGTCCAAACTCAGCTGATAATGTTACAGAACAAAGCAAATATACATACATAACACGTTTGTATTCCTGCACTCAGCCTGCTGAGTGTTTAAACCACGCCCCAGATCTCTCTCTGTGGGCTTTAGCTGGCCTGGAGACTTTCAGGAATAACTTGCACCTTTTCTTGGAATACCTCTTTTTAAAGGAACCGTAACACACACAACCCTTCTTACTTTCAGGTGTTAACCCTTCCCTCCCCCTCCCCCTGGGCCAAATAATAATGTGGGGAACCTGCTGGGCAGCCGCAGTGTGAAAGCAGACTAAGCCACACACCTGACTCCCGTGTGCAGAGAGGGAAGAGCTGCAGAATTCCAGTGAACGTGAGGAAGGTGGTCACAACTAGTCCTAAAGGAGCCTCTGAAGGGGGAACTGATGGTCTTTTCTCGAGATTTCAAACAGCACAGACTCTCCCCACCCCCCTCTTGCTACTTTTTGCAAGCAGACTGCTCATCTCTCCTTTCCAGACTTGTAATCTGGCTTCCTGCAAGTCCCACCACTGCCTCCAGAAGGGCAAATGCCCAAAGGAATAGGGCGTCTTGATGGACAGCTACCAAATGGAGTGCATCCTGATTGGTAGCAACTCTGTGAGACAGACCGCTGCCCCATATGGTTTCCAAGGCTTCACATCTTCATCATGCAAGCGGACGGCCACATCTTTTACCCTCGGACTGGCTGGTGGGTTCGAACCACTAACCTTTCAGTGAGCACCTAGATGTTTAACCACCGTGCTACAAGGGGCCATTCCAAAGGTCATGTAGGAGGTGTTAACCATTCTAAGAGGTGGACTGAACATTCCATCAAAGTGAAGTTCCAGCCTGTGGAGCCCAAGGACCAGCCATCAGATCATTCACCAGGGAAAAGGCCTTTATCCCTGCAGTTCTGGAAAGCCTCACGTGCTTAGGGGCTGCTACCCTCAAGACATCATTACTGCACAGAAAAGTCCAACAGTTCTGCTGAGTCTTAAAGATCACAGGGAAAGTGTCTTACAGGCTCTGCAGACGCTGTTAATAGGAGAGAGATGGCCCTTTGGGCCCAACTCTGGCACGTCCCAGCAGTGAAAGTGCTGCGTGGCTGGTGCACCTGCTTGAGGGCCTGCTCCACCCCCTGTGAGGCTTAGCACAGGGCCAGGGCAGGGTTCTTGGAGATTAGGCAGATGTGAGGATACTTGCCTCTACCATCTACTCCTCAGCCTGCCTGCTTCTCGATATGCAGTGGACCGGTTAGGTTGATGATGGCCAAGATGCACCTACGTTCAAATGATGTCCCTTCCTGTGACAAGGATCAGAATTTCTCTCATTTGTACCTCCTGGTGAACTTTCCCAGCTGCAAGGGGATGAGAACCTTCCTGACCACTAACATACAGGGCAAAGGCGCGCGCACACACACACATTATTAGCCTGTTCTTTTTCATCTCATTCAGCCCCCTTGTAACAAATCATATTTAAAATAAAGTAAAAAGAAGGGGCAAATTGCAGAAGAAACCTTGGTTAAAAAGCTCATGGGTCAAGTTTTTTAAACGTGAGTGTGTTAGAGTAAAAAATAAAAACGTTTCTGATTCCGTTCAGTTTTAAAAAACAATCTGGTTCTTCCAGTAGGTGTGTGTGGGGAGGCCCGGGGCCTCCAGACCTCCCCACTTCTCGGGTCTCACCAGAAACTTCACAGTGGGCCGGTTTGCTCAGACATTCAACTCAAAGTACCCGGTTATCTGCAGTTTCTTCACCTTGAGACCCAAACCAACACCGAAACAAAGACCCCTCTGTAGAGGAACCAACTCTGGGCTGGGCTCAGTACAACACAAAATCCAACCGCTTCACACACACACTTTTGGGGGGGGGGTGCCTCTTGGTGATGTAACAGTGAAATCCTACCCCAGAATCCAGGGATTTGTGGTCCTACAAGTGTAAACAAACTGGTGCTGTACGGGACAGAGAACTTTGCCTGTAGCCTCCTCACTGGGACTTCTGTTGCAACCCAAGCTCTCTGGTGGCCAAGAGAGAGCAGGAGCCGGGCACCCAAAACTGTCTATGTCCCTTTGTTCTCATAAGCACGGAGCTAAGTCCCCCTTTGCTAAGGGTCCTGGCAGTGTCCACTCGGTATCTTGGAAAGAAACACACAGTGAGCAGAGGCTGGGTCCGATTTGCCTGCTTGTCCTTTTCCAAGGCCAGACATCCCACTGGTCAATTTCTACACAGGACCTAGACATTTTTTTTTCCTTTTTGCTAAAGGGACAGCTTAGAACATCAGTGACCCTGTGAGTATGCTCAAACAGCCATGTCACTCTGCACTAGCCAAGAATCATCTTTGCTTGGGAAGGTCTCAAGCTGCCCAGCAAGCACTGATTCCCTCAAGAGCCCCCAGTACTACATACATGTCCTATTCTCCCCTTGGCCAGAGGTGGGGGGAAGGGAAGAAGGAGAGAGTACGAGAGAAAGGTCTCTACGTTGCTTTCAAGTGGAGTCGTCCAGCTCCCTGTTTGGCTGCTCTGACTCTGACTTGCACAGCCGGTCCCTGATGCCCTGGAGCATGGGCTGGACGATGCCCAAGAGAGGCCTCTGAGAGGGGTCGCCATCCCAGCAGGCTTCCATCAGCTGCCAGCACTCCGCATCAAACACGGGGAGACGCTCTGGGCGGGCCCCTAGAGGAAGAGGGGTGGAGGGAAAACCTGGTTTAGTCAGAAGGAGACGAATGCATTAAGAGGGCTGACCAGCTGGCAAGCTGATGCCCCGTCCTTGCGGGACTCAGGAGGCTGGCCAGTGCAAGGAGCCTGGACTTCTACTGCCGACAGCTCAGGTGAAGCCTGGCAGCAGTAGTGAAGGAAAGCGGGACGCAGGACACTGGCGAGCTGGACACTGTGAAGCAAACAAGGCATGGGGCCGGACTCTCGGAAAGAGCCGAATGCTGCCTGGAAGCAGAAGTCTGCTTTGGATGTCCCAAGGGGGAGCTGGGTGTACGGGCCCTGCAGGGGAGGAGCTGGATGGGGGCAGGGAGCCCCTGCTGCACAGCCCACCCGCACGCGCAGGGGCAGGCCTCCTACCTCTCCTCACGTTGTCCCACAGGTGGTCTTTGCTGGCACACCTCTCAAACGCCTCGGGGAGCTTGACGGCGCCCGAACAGATGTACCAGAAAAGAATCCCGAAAGCGTAGACATCCACGGAGTTGTCGTACTTTCCTACAGCAAGGAGGGGCGGCGAGGAGCAGGTGAGAGGGGAGAAGGCAACGGCCCCTTTGCACCTGCCCAGTCTCCATGCATGTTGGAGACGGTGTGCTCTCTCCCCCATCCTGTCATGCGGGCAAGGACACACTGAGGGTGAGGCAGGCCAGAAAGCTCAGGGGAAACTCCAGGATCGCTAGCTCCACTCTTCCAAGAACCCTCGGAAGCCTCCGTGTGGAGTATTCAAAATATCCTGGACACTGGGAGGGGGAAGCTAGACGTGTTCACAAGAACCAGCTGCTGACTGGAACTCCATGAAGACCAAGAGAAACGGAGCCCTGGCAGGTCACCTGGGGACATAAAGACGAGAACCACAGGTGGGCGGGCTTTTGGAGCTGGAAGCCAGGCGTCTGAGTTGAGTTGGCAATGGGACGTCACTGCCGTTCTGCAGCAGGACACACGGAGAAGGGACCGTCGGAAGCACCTCTGAGCATAGCAGAGTGGTGCACCGCGTGGACTCACCTTGCAAACGGCATTGGCCCTTGTGGACGGTGCTGTCCCACACCTGGGGCAATGAACAGGGCTGTCCACAAAGACCCCTGATGGCCTGAGGCTAACTCAGCCCTCAAGGTATGAGGTCACCTATCCTGGCCCAGAAGGCAGTGGTTCTCAACCTTCCTAATGACACAACCCTTAAATACAGTTCCTCATGTTGTGGTGACCCTCAACCATAAAGTTACGTCCATTGCTACTTCATCACTGTAATTTTGCTACTGTTATGAACGGGCAACCTCTGTGAAAGGGTCGTTTGACCCCCAAAGGGGTTGCGACCCACAGGTTGAGAACCGCTGCCCTAAGGAGACTCAGAGGGCTCCTAAACCTTAAGGTATAGATGGGGCTTTCTGGTTGGTGGGCATCCACTGGAGAGGGTAAGGTAGCTCTCTCTGGGACACGGGAAACCCCTCACTGGGCCCCTCACTAGGGTGCCTTCCCGAGTTCCCCCTCTGCATCTCTTCATTTGCATCCTTTTCCATGGTACTAAATCTGCTGCTCTAAGTACAGGGCTGCTCCATGAACTTTGTGAGCCCCTCCAGGGAATGAGGGGCGCCCAGGGTGGTGAGGGCAGCAGGAGCTGTCCTGCCTGTCCGACAGTCCGCAGGGAGGTGTCCTCACAGTGTGAGAGCTCTGTGTCGAGAGAGACTGAGAAACGCTGCATGTTCCCAAAGATGGGGCCCACCCAACTTGTGACGTGGGTGGCCTGGGTCAGAGAGTGTGCTGCTGTGTGAGAGACTGGCGGCGATGCTCAAGTCCCGGAGGTGAGGACCGTGGGGATTGAATTCATCCGCACCCCTCCATGCACCCAGGCAGGTGGACTGTGCACTAGACAATGAAAGGCACTTAAATGTAAAGTAGAACGTGGCAGTGGGAACTGAGACTAAAAATACACACGTAAATATAAGTTCTCAAGTGCTATGATAACAAAAATATAAATGGGTGGTTTTGACAAACAGAAATTGCCTTTCTCAGGGGGAACCGATTACAAGGATCTACATATAACCCCCTCCCTAGGGGACAGACAACAGAAAAGTGGATGAAGGGAGACGTTGGGCAGTATAAGGCATGACAAAATAATAAATTTATAAATTATCCTGGGTTCATGAGGGAGGGGGTGGGGGGAGGGAGGAGAAAAAAATGAGGAGCTGGTACCAAGGGCTCAAGAAGAAAGAAAATGTTTTGAGAATGATGATAACAACAAACGTACAAATGTGCTTGACACAATGTATGTGTGCATGGATTGTGATAAGAGTTGCATGAGCCCCCAATACAATTTTAGAAAAGAAATTCCCTTTCTCACAGTTTAAGAGGCTAGGAGTCGGAATTCAGCCCGCTTGCTCTAGGGACAGGCTCTATGTCTGTGTGGGCGTCCTGGTTCCCAGCGAGCTCCACGGGTCTCGGCACCCTCTTATTCCCTCTCTCTACTTGTTTGCTTACCCTCTGTTGGTGACTCAGTCCTACACTAGTCCTACACAAAGACAACCCATTCCCAAAGGGGATGACACCCACGGGCACAAAGGTTAGGCTGTACACACATGCTCTGGTGGGACAGACTTCCATCAGTAACACTAAGGGAAGTGGGAATAAATGGATGGCTGTCTACTTGGCTGGTGTGTGAGTACGGTTATAGCTGTCCAGCTAAACACGTAAATATTGCATGGCTCAGGTTGGGGAAAATGTGTGTACAAAGCCAACCAGAGGCATTTGAAGTGTTGGGCTAGGCTTAACTCTTACCAATGTTCACGACGGCCCTACAATGACTTCTCACCTCCCCTGGCAGCGGTCCAACCATCACCATCTGCCTGGGCTCAAACTCTGGTGTCACCTTCTGGCTAACCCTTTCTGTTCACCCACAGCAAGTGGATAGCAAAACCCTGCTCATTCTTCCTCTTGAATTGATCTCAAAGTTAACTCTTTTTTTTTCCCCTATGTCAGCATTACCCACTTAATCCTGGAGACATCCACCACCCCATTGGTCTCCCGCCTCTGTCTTTTCTCTCCTTCACGCAGACCTGTGGATCTCAGAAACAGTTTCAGGTTCACATCCCACCTCCACTTCTTTCCAGCTCCCTGCTTTCTGGGCGGGAGATTCCCTCCTCGGTGTCTTTACCCAGCAATTCATATAAAAATGCGTCGTCGCAGAATTGCTGTGAGGGCTGCATGAACGAAACGACGTGAGCCGCCCCACGCCTGGGTTACCATGAACAGAGACACTTCAAAAAGCTAATGGGAAATGGAATCAAAAGATAACAGACTCCCCCCACACACCTTTTAAAAATAAATCATTTTATTGGGGGCTCTTACAGTTCTTACCACAATCCATACATCAACTGGGTCAAGTACATTTGCACATTTGTTGCCATCATCATTTTCAAAACATTTTCTTTCTACTTGAGTCCTTGATATCAGCGCCTCTTTTGTCCCTCTCTCCTCCACCGTCATAAACCCTCCATAAAGTATAAATTATTTTTATTTTCATATCTCACACTGTCCGCTGTCTCCCTTCTCTGGTCTAGCTGGATTTGTAAGGTAGAACTGGGTCATGATAGTGGGGGGAGGAAGCATTAAAGGACTAGAGGAATGCTGTGTGTTTCCTCGGTGCTGTACTGCACCTTTGCTGACTCGTCCTTTCCTTGTGACCCTTCTGTCCCCACACACTTTTGGAAGCCCCCTCGTATACTTAATACTTAGGAGTTCCCTTACTACCTACCAATTTTTACCAGCCCGTCCCAACCTCGCCCCTAAACCCCACCTCGAGCACAGTTATCGAGCATGTTAGCCATCAGTGAGCCCCTTCTGAAACTGAGAGGGCATAATGTCGCACCATGATTTAACACGTAGTCACTTAAGATGATTACTTTGCCTCTCTCTTGAAATGATAACTCTAAGGTAGTTTTAAGTTCTTTAATGACAGTGGATGACTCCCCATTATGAATCAAATAGAATTACACAGTCCATACTTCATGGTAACAGCGTTGGTGGATTATGGAGATGTAGGGCATTTTTCTCTCTTCCTTCTCACCCTCTGCCCCTCCCTGCCCCGACTTACCTCAAGCTGCTCCTGTTCAGGCTTCCCCACGCCACTGCCAGGAGGGCCTGCGGTGCTACCGGAGGCGACTTAGCCCGTGGTTTCTGTGCCACACCCAGGCCAAACCACCTCTGCCCTCCAGTCTTACCTGTGAAAAGTTCAGGGGCCATATGGATTGGGGTCCCCACAATGCTGCCCGACATCATAGCCTCCGGCTTGCAGAATCCCAAGTCTGTAATCTTGGCGTGGTTCTGCTTGTCCAGCTGCCAACAAAGCAAGGTGACAGTCACCCTGGCCCCACCCTGTACGCAGCACTTGGTGGCACACGCAAACGTGAAAAAGAGGTACGGAATAAATCCATCCTCTGATCTCCCATCTGCAGGCTCATCCCCACTACTGGCTTCCCCTATACTACGAGCCCCCGATGGCAGAAATCATCCTTTGCACGTTGGCATTCAGACACTTAACATAGTGCGCTGCCCATGTTAAGGCACCTCCATGAATCTGGGGGAATGAACAGTGAAGGTCCACAGAAGGACAGTACAGAGAGCCTTCCGCTCCTGACCCCTGACCTCCGGACCACAGGCAGAAGGTGGAAGCCCTCCAGTCGGCTAAGGGGAGTTCCTTTTGGATTCCCTGCTGCTTCTTTTCTTAAAGGTTCCCAAGACTGAATCTATCAGGTGACTGACTGACAGGCCTCGTAGGTTTCTGCCTATAATCTTAGGACTATTTTTTCTTTCCACCAGAGAGTGAGACAGAACATGAATCTGGGACATGAGTATATGGGCTTTCAGAGCTACTAGGCTTTTAACTTTTCTGTAAGTCTAAAAAATTTCATCATAGTGCTCAGTCACTGCCGTGGAGTCGATGCCAACTCACTGGCAACCTTAAAGGGCAGAGTGGAACTGCCCCTGTGGGTGTCCAAGACTGCCACTATTTACAAGAGTAGAAAGCCTCTTTCTCCCGAGGAGTGGCTGGTAGTTTTGAACTGCCAACCTTGTGGATCACAGGGCAATACATAACCACTACATCACCAGGGCTCCTAAAACAGTGCTGGGAGAAATTCTTAAGCAGTGTAAGAGAAGCCTATGATGAAGCCAGTGGAAGAACATCTTTAATGAACTAACCTACTCACCCCATAATTTTTAAGTTGGAGAATGTAAAATTCAGATTTTGAGGGCACAAGGATGGTATGTGCTGCAAACTCGCATGTGTCCTCTACTCTTTTCCCACGACCTCCAGCAGGCCGCTGAACCAGAGACGCAGGCCGTCAGCGGGAGAAACAGCTCTGCTTACCAGCACGTTCTTCAGCTTGATGTCACGGTGAACCAGTCCCTGGCTGTGCAGGAAGCGGATCCCCTCCACCACGTCCAGGGCAATCTGCAGGCGTGTCTCCAGCGTCAGCCCAGCCTTAGGAAGACACAGAGCTTCCCTGTCACTCACGAGGCAGCAGCTCCATGCTGCCTGCTCGCAGCGACCCCAAGGCCAACAGAACAAAATACTGCCTGCTCTCGGGCCCCTCACAACTGTGAGCCCACTGCGGCGGCCTCGGGGTCACTCAATTTGTTGATACCTCTCTTTTCCACTGCCCTTCTTTCCCAACCAAAAGAGCAGGGCTGACGGAACAGGAAAGGCTGTGGCTGCCGGTGGGCTCTTGTGCTCCCCTTCCTCCCTGGACCCACCTTGAGACCCGTGTAGAGGTCCCGGTGCAGCCGCTCCATGATGAGCAGCACGGCGATGCTGGAGCCGCCGCCATAGTTGTAGTCGATGACTGACCCGTGGAGGTCCACCAGCCGCTCATGCTTGGGCAGAGACCTGCAGGGCAGGGGGGGCAGCACACTTTCCCTGTGACCCTGCACAGCATCCCCCACTCCGAGACCACACTCAGTCCAAAGAGAATGGCTGCTCCAATAAGGGGACACACACACACACACACACACACACACACACACCTCCGGGAGTCATAAAGATTCAGAGGCAAAGTCGAATGCCAAGTTAAGACCCAGAAGACAGGATTCCGGGGCAAAGCAAGGACAGGGCAAGGCAGAGAAACATCAGGCCGCAGCATTTGAGCTCTGGGTCTGAAGAGGCGGGACGCACTGCAGCTCCCGGCAGAGCACTTCCACGGGGCGTCAAGCGTCTCCTTTGTTCATAAAGATGGGTGAGACCAGGACCCACCTCATGTAGTGAAACTCCAAAGCCAGGTCATTCCAGTGCTTCTCATCTGGGGGAACAACTGACTTGAGGGCACAGGGGAAGTGTCCCCCCCAGTTGTCACATAGGTACACCACACCATACTGGCCCCGGCCTAGCTCCTGTCCCAGTTTAGGTTTACCTGCAAGACAGACAGAGAGATAAGGGAGGGCCAGGCTGGCAGGCAGAAAGCCATAATTATCAAAGTAAGACATTCTGGGGTCTTCTAAGCCCACAGAAAGTAACCTAACTGGTTGGCCCGAAATAAGCTTTGATGCTGTTGTTTGAACGACCTAAGCAGCAGCATCAAACCGACGTCGAAAACACAGATATCAATTAGCCACCTTGAACGAGAGATAGCGATTTCCGCCAGGGATGCACCTGAGCCTGCCAGGTGTCTGTCTAGAATGCGCCTGCGCCTGCACCTGGCTCAGGACGTGGGAGGCGGCGGCGGGAGGGCCACGCTGAAGGACTCACGGTGCAGCAGGACGTCCTGCAGAGAGCGGCTCTCCAGGGAGAGGCGGGCCAGGCGGGGGGCGTGCTCTTTCCGGACCTTCAGCCAGAGGTCTTCGGTCTTCTCTAGCCGGCCCGAGTGGCCAGCTTCCAGCTGGGAGGGAGAGACAAACGGGCCCACGATTGATCCAGTCCCTAGCCTTGACCTTCTTGATCATAATACAGGGCCACTGATAACATCTAGTGCACTAAAAAGACTTGTGAACTCAATTAAATGTACGTACATGTTTAGCACAGTGACTGGCACATGGGGCGGGGCAGGGGGTAAATAAATAAGACATTTCCTCTCATAGATGAATACACACCTCTATCCGCCCCAGCATAGACACACATCCCTACACACACACCAAAGGGACAAGCAGATGCCACCTAACTGCGGACGAGCATGGAAAGTGGAAATCGTCTCTCCCGATCACGCACCCTAAAATATGAGAGCAATTCAATTTTCCCAACCTTCAACATTACCCCTCCTCCTGCAGGGAAATGGGGAGAAATGAACTGAGTTCACTCCATCCTCCCTAGAATTAGAAAAACATCCACATATGCAAGATGTAGTCATGAAATTTGTAATATGTAATTTTATCCGTTACCAAAATAGAAGAAAAGAAAGTATTGTGCATCTGTTTCTTTCTTTCTTTAATTAAGGAAAAATTCTATGGGAAGCAGAAAGCACAATGTTCTCCACGGCAGAGGCCCTCGCTGTACCTCCGGCCTATACCCACCTGCCGCAAGGAGGCCGCGAAGGCCTCGTGAGAACTGTTGAGCCGAGTCCGGAACTGGCTGCAAATGCTCTTGGCCAGCTTGGAGGCGCTGAGGCTCTCGATGGCTTCCTGGGCCACCTTCCTCTTCCACTCGAGAGTGATGGCAGGTGGGCTCACCCACGTGATGCGCTGGATGATCTGCCAGGATGAGACGGGAGGTCACTGAGGGCAGGAGGCAGGGGCCACTACAAAGACCCACACCCTTGTTCTCTGGGTCATCCACTCTTTAGGAGCAGGTCTTCAAATAGGAGCTGTGTAGAGTCCACCACTCCTCTCCAGGTCCAGCTAGCTACCTCCCAACCAGGGCTTGGCCCAGATGGAAGCATCAAAGAACCCCAGGCCTGGTCTCCATGAACACAAGCCCTTGACGCCCTGCATTCGGTGCCGGGGAGGGCCTGATAAATCTCTCCATAAGCGCCCATCAGGAGCCACACTCCCAGCCGCTGGGGACGACAATGTGGGCTTCTGAGGTTGGGAGAAAGAACTCTGAGAGAGAAAGACAGTGAGTCGAATCATACAGCTCCGTCAAGCAGCACTAAGTCCGCCGCTTTTCAGAGCTAGGAGCAAGGCACTAGTCATAACTACTGCACAATAGGCGCACACCAGGATTCTCCCAGGCAGGCAATGCAGGACAGGGCTGCCTGCAGCACCAACACCAGTCCACCCACTGGGGTGATGATGAGTCCTTGGAGCCCCCTGTGGACAGAGCACTTTCCTGTAAGCCGCCCTCCCTACCTGCTTGATCTGCTCCCATAGCGTCCTTGTCACCGAGGACCCAGAGTGAAACGTCACTTCAACATGGTAGGCGGCATTCAAGATCTGAGAACACACGGAACAACACCCAGAGGCTGCCTCAAAATGCAACGGGTCTTGTGAACGTCAGAAACACAGCGTGGTCTCAGGGCTCCCAATGGCTCCTCCTGCGTGTACAGAGGCCAGGCCTGGGATCCCCGGGGGATCATCTATTTCGTGAGGCCTCCGCTGCATCCGTCATCCCCACTCATTGATCTAACCACAGTGTGACGGCCTATGAGCCCCTCCCACAGATGCCGGCCAGGTCCTAGGAGAAGGAAGTAAAATTCAAATGGGAGTGGCAAGGATTGAGTGGGAACACTAGCCGAATTTGGAGCTGGGCTTGTAGGTGGATCCTGCTACGTGTGCTAGCTGTGACGTGGAATCTTAATCCACCGTTCTTTGAGCACTCACCTGCTTGAGATAATTACTGGTGATGTGAATTGAGACGTCCTGCGACTTCTCCAGGCTCTGCAGACACCGTTCCAGGGTTCCCACAAAGCTCTCCCGGAGATAGTCCACTGAGCTGATCAGCTTGTTAGCCACGGCCTGATTCAGCCGGGAGATGATGAGCTCCTGGATCTGTCGGATGCAGCATTTGATCTCTCTCGTGCCCACTGGTTCCCCGTTCTCCGGGATGATGACATCTGTGTGAGCAGAGGAATGAACTAGCTTCCAGGGGGAAGCGGCAGGCAAGCTAACTCCAGGCATTTCCCTGGTCAGTGCCAAGGACGTCCCATGATGACGGCTACGAAAACACACGGCCAACCCGCAGCATGGTCAGTCACCCTCAGCTATTCAGAGATCCTGACAGTCCCTGTAACCAGAATGAATGAGCTGACCCTGTTAGCTTCCTTGTACATCTTATTTAGAACAGGAAAACAAAAACATTTCTTGAGTGCAGACTATCTGAAAGGCGCAACAACTCAGAACCCTGGCGGCATAGTAGGGCAAACACTGAACTGCGAACCACAGGGTCAGCCGTCAGAACCCCCAGTTGCTCCACAGGAGAAAGCAGAGGCTATCGAGGAGCCGTGTAGTCTCAGAAACTCTGTCCCATGGGAACCACGTTGATGGCAGGGAGTTTGGCTTTGGATAATCTAGTTTAATCTTCACAATAACTTTATTGGGTAGGTATTACCCACCACCCAGACCCCGCTGAGTAAATTCCAACGAGAGCAACCCTACATAGGGTTCCCAAGACCCTTTACAGGGGCAGATAGACTCGTTTTTCTCCTGTGGTGTGGGTTTGAACTGCCAATCCTGGGGTTAGCAGCCCATGCCTCACCCACGGCACCCCAGGGCTACAGGTGGGTAGTACTGGTTATACAGTGCAAGTCATTTTGAGGACAAAGCTAGCTTTGGAAAGGAGATAGTGTAGTTAAGAAATGATTCAGCCAGCATTTGAACCCAAAGCTTATTGAGTCCAATGCCTAAGATCTTTGTACTAGCTCACGTTGCCTTAGCATATGAATGAGAACAGTCCAAGAATTAGGAATTCAATTCTAATCAATGATGAGATAAATAAAAGACCCAATTATTGTCCCCACTACTGTACTACCCCCAGGATAAGAACACCTGTTTTCCAAATAGAAGATAAAGAACTTCAGCAAAGGCAAAGTAATGCATGAAACCTCAAAATGCCCTCTCCTGTCTATTGGTAGAAATTGAAATGGTACCACCCTTGGGTAGTAACTATCAAAATCTCAAACCAACAAATGAATGGGGGAAAGGTCCACATAACTATTCCACTTCTAAGATTTTTTTTTCCTGGAAATATGCCTTTACAAGCCGCAAAGCTCTATGTGTACAATAATGACCAATCCGGTAGAGTTTGCAATGGGGGAACGGAGCAAGGACCCATCGCCATCAAACTGATTCCCATTCTTAGCGATCCTATTTGGGGTTTCCAAGGCTGCATATCTTTGTGAGAGCACACAGCCTCATCTTTCTCGCACAGAGCGGCTGGTGGGTTTGAGCCACCAATCTTATAGTTTGCAGTTGGTCAACTACCAGGGCTCTTTAAATGAACATTAGGGGGGAATAATTCAATAAATTAAGGCATATTAATCAAACTCTCTTATGATATACTGTTAAATGGAAAAGAGCAAGTGCAGAATGATACACAAAGGGGAGTGGGGTCCCTGAGAGGCATGTAGGTTATGCAACGCCATTTCAAAAATGAATAAAACTTTATTAAGTGTGCAGAACATGCTCTCCAGGGCAGATGCCCTTCAAAACAACTAAGCAAAACATCACTGAAACCTGGCTCCATAGGACATGTGGTCATGGACTCCCTCAGGTACATCTGCCTGCAGGACACAGAGACGGGACTTGTACTAAGGTGAGAATCAGACATGTACCGCATGCAGAATATGGAGCCAACTCAAGTGGTGGATCAACAAACCCACAGAGTAGTTAACTGAGCCAGGCATTTTAGTCTACTGAGTCCCTGTAATCCCTACATCTGTTTGGCTAACCACTGTATCGCAGGCATGAAGCGTGGTATGCCGTGAAAATCCCATGTAATTACATATTGCAGTATCGGCCCAAACTACTGCCCTGCCCACCCTTTATCATGTGCACGGTGATGCTGGCATTGATGTTGTAGTGTCTTTCATTAAATACCGAGAAGACGTCCTAGGATTTTCACAAGCGAAAATTCCTCTCTGCGGTGGGAATCACCGAGAGCAATCTTCCTTCATTTTTAGGAAGACATACAAGAAATCAGGGATCCTGTGCTTGTGAAAGTCAAATGCACGAGTATTCCTTGTACGTATCTAACTGTGACACGGCTGCAGATCATCATTTTTATAACCATTCATTCTCCAGATGCCTGTGTATCAGACTGCTATTCAAGAGTCAGATCCTGGTCTTCTTCAACTCTAAGAATTTAACAACGTCTTAGAAAGAACATGAGTGACTCTTTCAAAAAGGGGGGAGAAAGTGAAACAGGCCTGAAATAAATTTGCACATGGACTGCTAAGGGAGTTCGGATGAATGGGATTATTACAAGCTATAAAAATTAAAGACTAGATGAAAAATGGCACTTGGGAGAGGGCTTTAAGGATGGGTATGGTCGGAAAAAGACAGTCCGGCTTAGGCAGCCCGCGAGCGAAGGGCAGTGGAGGGAAGACATGGAGGAGAGCAGCCAGACAGAAAACACGAGGGGGGGGGGAGGCGCCCAGCGGTGATCACGGTGGGAAACGCTGCTAAGGGCCACACCTTGGGGGTCATTGGGGTGAGGCTGAGGGGCTTAAATTCAGTCCACAGGAGCAAGTCGCCGGTAAAGATGCACTGAAGAGAGAAAGGGGTCAGGGAGATCAAGCAGGGACGACGAGGGCAAAGGAGAGGGACTAGAGAAGCAGAGGTCGAAAGGCCCCGTGGCAGATGACGTGCCAGGACCTGGCATGCGACTGGAAGCGGGGCAGGGAGAGTAATCCCTTTGAGCTGGGTGTCAGGAAGAAGGTGGCAGCAGTGGCTGGGAACAGATTAAGAGGCAGGAGAGCAATGGGGTTAAGAGATTAGGTCTAGGAATCAGTCAGTGGTAGATACACATCCTGCCCCTACTAATTACTACTGGTTAGACCTCAGGCAAATTAATCTTTCTACGCCTGAGCCCTCCACCCTCATGAGATCATGAGAGTCTACAGAATGCAGACTGGTTTTGGAAAAATACTGATGTTGCGTCAGAAATCCTGCTCGGAAGTGGTCTTTGGTGATGTGGAGCCTCTACGTACATGTTCAAAAAGCCTCCCAGATGATTTGAATATAGAGCCCTGGGTGACAACCTAGAGGGCATGTGACCATAGCTAACAGAAAGCAGAGCTAATGTTAATGCTTGGAGGTCTCTAGAGCGGCCAGCAAACAAAGCTGGCAGCAGGTAACCCTCAGACACCAAACGGCCTGAGCAGTGTTATCTTGGCCCAGCTTTGTAAAGAACCACTCAAGCAGGAAGATTAACACTGTCATTTTGGACGACCCGCCTGAGCTGGGTTCCAGGAGCAGCCTGAGAAGAAACTGCAACGCAGGGTCAACAGCAGGCAGGTGGCTCCCCTGGGAACCGGACAGCTCTAACAGTGATGTCACAGCACGCCTCCCGCAGCCCGTCCGGCCCCATCAGGGTTGGAGGGATGAATGTGAAACAGGAAATCTGAGATGAACACAGCAAAGGCTGAGCTAACAGTTCTGGGAATCAATGAAGATGGGATCGTCTAAGGAAGTCTTTGAGACCAAGAGCAGCTACTTTTTGCTAAATGGTTTAAATTAAGCTCCTGCTGGTAACAGTGAGGTACAGGAGATTATCCAGAGGCTCCTTGCTTGGGCTGAAGAGCTGGCACATTTAACTTCCAGGCAGAAAAAGCTAAGGTACTGTAATGGCTTGTGAGAGAAAGCGAGAACTCTAGGCCATAGGTTCCCAAAGTTATTTGGGTTTCTGCCCCCTTTTCAGAAAAAAAAAAAAAAAATCCCAACACCCTGGGAATTAAAAACTTTTGTACCATAATCCAGGATAAGGTGTAGGTATCTGGGTCCATCGTTTCCGGGGTGGGCTTCTCCCATTCTGAGAAGCACTGGGTTCGAGGCTCTGGTCAGCCTCACTCCCCAGAGCCCAGTTCTCTGGGACCTACCTTTGAACTCCATGTTAGCAGCATCACCCAGAAGTTCCTCCTTCATGCTGTTCAGCGTCTCAACAATCATGTCCTTCATTTCCTCCTGCTTCCGGTTGGCAATATTCATCAGCGATTCAAACAACTCATTCTCCTTTTTGCGCGTGTACTCCAGGCGCTTGGGCGTGATCTGCAGGTCCCGCTGCATGTCAAAGGCTTGGTTGATGAAGATGTCCAGGCAGCGGCAGTGCACCAGGTTCAGGGCCTTGGCAGCGTCCACCAGGCGAGCCTGTAGCACCTGGTAGGAAAAGGTGCTCAACTGTCTAAGCTTCTCGCTCTGTTCCACCAACATGCTCTGAGCTTTTGTGTCTTGGCCGGGGCCCCCACAGTTACAGTGACTGCTGCTCACATAGCCCAGGTCAAGCAGCTGGCGATGAAGTGGTGATCGTTCACTCTCGGGTCTTCTGGCGGGCGCGTCAATGATCTCCGCAGCCAGCTTCGGCACTTTGAAAAAGAAGATGGGAGAGGAGAAACACTCGCGCATCTCCCGGAGCTCCTGCTCATCCCTCTCTGACAGTTCATCTTGGTGCAGTGCGTAGGTCACCACGGGCAGGAACTCAGTCGCCAGGTCACCCAGGACATCCACTGCAGGCCGGAGGCCTTGGCACGGTGCTACCACAATGTCCACTTCCTGGAAGGGCAGAGGGGTCAGATCAGACCTCACAGTCAGAATCAAGCCTGGCCTCCCCCGAGTTCCACATCTAGATCTAGGCTGGGGCACCTGGCTTTCCACCTGTCACCTACTCACTTCCTTCCTCTTGTACCAACACTCTCTGGTGCAACCTTTGCAGGCCAGCACTCCTCTACAGAGAGCGAGAAGTAGGCAGGGAGGATGGCAGTTCCTTTAGCCGCTGCCGATCAAAAGACTATGAGGTCCTTGCCACCCCTTTGTTGCTTGAAAACTCCCGCCGATTCCCTCTGATGAAGAAATAAGGACTATGCGTGGGGGAAAGGAACTCGTGGAAATGATCAGATGGAGTGAGTCTACCTGAAGACTCCTCGCCGTCTTCCTGCCCCTCACATCTCCTGTCCCCACCACTCCAACCTGGCAAACTCCCAAACGCCCTGTAAGTATCAATGTATTATGTATGTATGTACAACCCAAGTAGTCTTCTTCCCCCTTTTGATACTTAACACATTCATATTTTATCTCATTTAACTCCCCCCAGGGCCTACTTACTCTTTGAGGGTAGGGGCCATGTCTACCTTGTTCACTGTTGTAAGTCCAATGCTTAGCACATAGTCCCTCATAGTACCCTCATGAACCCGGCAGTAGAACTGTGCCAAAGGAGTTTCAGGCTGTCACCTTTAAGGAAGCAGACTGCCACACTTTTCTCCTTGGCAGCAGCAAGTGGGTTTGAACCGGTAACCTTCCAGTCAGTAGGCAAACCCTAATCACTACTCTACCAGGGCTCCTTTAACACATATTGTCAGATCAATAAATCCAGCAGCAAACTAAAAGTGAGTTTCAACAGACATTCTTACTGCCCTATTGTGAGAGTTTGCAGAAAGTTTTATTCACCTAACTCTTGGTATAGCAACAACTCAATTCCCCCCATCAAGTCAATTCTGACTCAGTGAGTCCCGAAGGCAAAGTAGAATTTCCCCCTTTGGGTTTCTGATGCTGTAAATCTTTACAGAAGCGGGAATCCTTTCTCCCTCGATGGGGCACATGGGTTCGAACTGTTGACCTTGCAAATAGCAATCCACAGGGTAATCCAGTACATCAGGGGTCCTTTTCTAAGTATAGCAGGGGCTACAATTTAACTAGCCAATGTTTATCCTCTATTGGGAAGGGAAGGGAAGGCCCTTCAGAGAGGACTAGCCAATGAGCTGTAAGGGCCGGGGTTTCCTGGAAAGCTCTGGAGAGAAGGGTTCCTCTTAGCAAACCACAAAACTGCTGCCCCAGAACTGCCTGCCTTCAAAGACTTCTACATAAAATGGGGAGCGAGGAGAGGCTGTGTCTAGCCTGAATTCCTGTTTCCCTGCACTCTCTTACTGCTACTTGTGATTTAACCCAATCCTAAAGGATATATCCAAGATTCTGATGTGAGTTTCAGGGATGATCTTTGGTTTAAAACAGGCCTTCAAGCACGTTCCTCACCAAACCTGTATTTCTGCTCTGTGCTCTACTCTTTCCTGAGGGCGTCTGAGCTCTTTGGCAGCATAGCTTTCCACCTACTGCACAGGTGACTCAAATTCACTGCCATCCAGCCAGTTCCGACTCTCAGTGACCCCACAGGTCAGGGAAGAGTTGCCCCTGTGAGTTTCAGAGACTGTAACTCTTTATGGGAGTAGAAAAACTCGAATGGCGAGCGGTTTCAAACTACTAACCTTGTAGTTAGCAGCCCAACACATAACCACTGCATCACCAGAGCTCACTGCACAGATTACCCCTCCGCACCTCTGAAGCTGCCAGCGCATGGCATGGCCTTCTGGACCTAAGGGCTGACCTAAGACTCACCAACAGAGACTTCAGAGGCCTGCCAATTCCCAACCAACCCTCCTTCTGGCATAGTTGATGGTTACAAAAGAGCTACATGTGTTCAACTTGGTGTCCTCAACAGTGACCAGATATGGACATTTTACTTCCTCTGGTCCCTCCCACTCGCAGCCAAGCATCGATGTCTCAGCTTCCCCTCCACCAAAGAAGGAGGCTTTATTTCCAAGCAGGCCACACATCACTTTCATCTGACTGGCTACTTTGAGCTCTCTAAAACTACACATGCTGCAGCAGCCCACTGTTTGGAAGTGGACACACCTCATGTAATTCCACCAACTTCCTGCCCACCCTTATGCCAGCAGCAATGTGCTATCTCATCAGGCCTCCGGTCGCAAAGGGCATTTTCTGGTTGGAAGACTAGTCTGACACACAGTTCCAGGTGCTGTTCAGGAACGTGATTCATCACAGGCAGACCTTGGGGTTTGCAGCAGGGAACATAACTGTATGAACACCAGCACTGTGGCTGCCCTCGGGCTGATTTCGACCCAGGACCTTGGGTCAGCATCAATAATTGCATATAATTTGATAAAGAACATTCTACGAGATGAAAACTGCTATAATAAGGTGGGAAAATATAGGTGAAAATATTTTTTAAATATTTTTTTAATGTATAAATACATAGTTTTTAAAAGATAAGAATTAACCAATCACATTCATTATAAGGAATACTAAGCAAAGACAGCTGTGATTTATTCAAAACTGAAGTAATTATCATGTAGAAAAAATTCAGGGAGACTCTCATTTGCCTGTTTATTTGATGGATTTTCTTAAAAGCTTCTAAATTTCCAGAGTTTCCTCAAAAGACCTTATTGTGTGGTGCAACAGAACCATGAAGTAAAGCCACTACATCCATTTTAAGAACCAATATTCTTTCTAAGAGACGAGTTAGTTTTATTTCCTCATAAGTGCATATGCAAAAAAAAAAAAAACTCCAAGCTTCCAACGGTAGGATATAACCTGTATACATATAAGCTTCCAACGTAGGCTATAACCTACATACATACAGACTTCCAACGGTAGGCTATGAGCTACATACATACAGACTTCCAACGGTAGGCTATAACCTATATACATACAGGCTTCCCAGATATAACCTGTATACATACTGGCAGCAGAAAGAAGCTGCCCACTCTGCAATATATCTTGGACTACAGAAACAGGGATGGAGAGCTGGTGGCCGCCCTCCACTCTGCTCCCAGTTCATTAATGCACGGCAGTCGGGCTCCCAGCTGCCATGAATGTCAGACAGGCGAGGAGCTGCTGGCTGCGGCTTTGGCAGCCGTACAAATGAGCCGGGAACGTGATGTGCGATTCTGCAATGCTCACGGTGAAGGAGTGACTCATGCCTGATGGTTATAAACAAAAAGGGGGCCAGCACCGTCTCCAGGAGACGAGGAGTGAAAAAGCGCCATCACTAAGGAGCCTACGCTAGCTCTCCTGGCCCTGGGAGGAAGGTCTGACCCCAGCCAGACCGGTCTGTCTCCACTGGAAGCTCATAGGCCTGCCACCCAGAACAGGGCCTGCCACTTAGTAGGCACGCCACCCAAAACGAATACAGACATCTTTCATCACAACCGTGTTGGAACATCCGAAGAAGTTGCTGTCTCTCACATTTTAAAGATTTCCTCTGGTCCGGAACTGCCGTTTTCTCCCTGCTCCACGAAGAAAGCAGTAAGTATTCTGTTCCAAACTCAATCAAGAGAAACCGCATTTAGAGAATCCCCTACCTCCCATTTTGAGTCACAGGGAATTCCGGAAGCAATTTCTCTGGTAGAGCACATTCCGCACGCACCTGTGGGGCCAGTGGGAGGTGATGTGCTCCTGGCAGGATGAAGACAACCCAACTTTGCACACACCAGATCACTGATTTGCTTTTCGGTTTTTAATGGGAAAGGTCATTATGCTAAAATGCCCCAAAGCAATCAATCACTGAAGAAGCCTGACCACACATCCTGCTTAATTTCTTATGAATGTAGGCTTATTTGGCCCGAATGCCTTATCCTATGGCTCGTGGCGCATTACAGAAACATCTGCAGTGAGAGGTGATTATACTGATGACTACAACAGAAGCTGTCCTGTGCCCGGGCTACAGCTGAAGGCGGCAGATGCCTTGCTTGGCTCTGTCTACAGTCCTAGACCCAGGTTGACATCACACAGAAATTAGTAAGTACATAGCTACATAAGAGTCCCGGCTTTGTGGGGCACCGCCTAGACCTCAATCCCTCTCCCCAGATCCCAGCCACCTTTATTGGCAGCTTCCCTTCCGTTCCCATAGAGCTGCGGAAAGATTTTTCCTGCTGGTTTTTACACAAAGGTCGATTCCTCTTCCTTTGTATGTATTTCTCTGAAATCACTATCAGGCTTAAATGCTCATTACATATTAAGGAAGACATCTCTCTATACTTATTCCACCGTAGACAATACCTTGAAGCTTGTTAACCCTCTCCAAGAGGGGGAGGCAACTGAATGAATTTCTAGACTATAAATCCCTCCTAAGAAACTGGGACTAAGGTGATGCCAGCTTTATCTCAGCAGCCAACACAGCACAGCTATAAGCTCATCATCTCATCCCGTAAAACCGTGGCACTGTGGTGACTGGGAGGCCAGGGAGAGACACATCCCCAACCAAAGCCCAAACCAAGCCACAGACCCCAAGAGGCTGAGCAGCAGAAATCTCATCTTAAGCTCCAAAGACAAAGCTTTAACTCTACACCTCTACACCTCATTAGCGTGAGGCCCTTCCTTCAGGACCGACGGACAGCCTCTATGTCCTCCACTCTGTGGGCACACACACCTCAGGGACCCGTCACACGAAACCCAACTCACTGTCATCAGGGCCATTCCGGCTCCCAGTGCCCCGAAGGCCGGGGTAGGAGTGCCCTATGAGTTTCAGAGACTTGTCCGTCTCTCGGGGGCAGGGGCTGCATCTGTCTCCTGTGGAGCGGCTGGGGGACTAAGTGCTGACCTGTGCTTGGCAGCGTACTCCTTCTGACCAGGGCTCCTCCAGGGACCTTCAAGGAAGGTAAAGGTAGGGATCTGCACATTGATTCTCCTACCGCTGACTGTATTAATCAATAGTTAGACAATCAAAATAACAGAATGGAGAGGGAAGAAAGGTGGAGAAGACT